CTCAGAATTGAGAAAATGTCAGAATTGTGAGATAAAGTTGCATTTACTTTTTTTTTTCAAAATGTGTTATTTTTATAATTTTTTTTATATTTTCAAACAAGCTTCCATAGTTGAGCGCCACTCATAGCAAATGTAAAAGGTCTTTTAAAGGTGGGGTAAGTGATTTCTGGTAGCCAATGTTGATATTTCATACCACCAAAACAAACACGCCCCTATTTTGATAGCTCCGCCCCACACATACGTACGCAACCCAGGCAACGATTATGGCGGAATCTGCTGTATTATTATCTGCTGTATTAATCATATTATCTTACTTTTCGGACACACTTTAGGAGCTGCCGCTTGAAACAGACAGTGGAGGAGGTTTAGACGCTCCAGGCTTATACGGTGTGGAAATCATAGCTGACGGGAACGACAATACGATTGCAGATGAACAAACAAGCGAACATGACACACGAGCATATTCAAGCAAAAGCCAGTATATATTAGCTCTGTGAAACAAAGCAAAACCAATGTTACTCACCTATCGAGAAGAAACAAAGCCACCTCGGCGTCCGATCACAAGCCTTCACGCTCCTTGAGTTCTCTCCAGTGCTGGAAAGCTGATCCGAAATTTACACGGGTCCTGCCTCTTGACTTCTTGCCTTAAGTCTTCTTTTGTTCCGCAGACGTTTTCCTCTTTTGTCTTTTATCCGCCATCTCTATCTTTCTGTCGCTCGGCTCGGCTAATGTCCGTCCTGTGCACTGAACTCTCTCTCCTCCACATCAAGAGTAGACATGCCCCTTACTGCTGATTGGCTACAAGTTTGTTTTGGTACTGCTTTTGCATGACATCAGCCAGTTCTGTCACTGATTCAATGTTTTTTTATTCATGTTTCTAACCTTGTTGTGTTAACTTGGCCATACAAAATGTCCATGTTATATACAGTGGGTACGGAAAGTATTCAGACCCCTTTACATTTTTCACTCTTTGTTATATTGCAGCCATTTGTTAAAATCATTTAAGTTAATTTTTTTTTCTCATTAATGTACACACAGCACCCCATATTGACAGAAAAACACAGCATTGTTGACATTTTTGCAGATTTATTAAAAAAGAAAAACTGAACTATCACATGGTCTTAAGTATTCAGACCCTTTGCTCAGTATTTAGTAGAAGCGCCCTTTTGATCTTTTTTTCTTTTTTTTGGGAAAGATGCAACAAGTTTTTCAGGGGATCCTCTGCCATTCTTCCTTGCAGATCCTCTCCAGTTCTGTCAGGTTGGATGGTAAACGTTGGTGGACAGCCATTTTTAGGTCTCTCCAGAGATGCTCAATTGGGTTTAAGTGGCTGGGCCATTCAAGAACAGTCACAGAGTTGTTGTGAAGCCACTCCTTCGTTATTTTAGCTGTGTGCTTAGGGTCATTGTCTTGTTGGAAGGTAAACCTTTGGCCCAGTCTGAGGTCCTGAGCACTCTGGAGAAGGTTTTCGTCCAGGATATCCCTGTACTTGGCCGCATTCATCTTTCCCTTGATTGCAACCAGTCGTCCTGTCCCTGCAGCTGAAAAACACCCCCACAGCATGATGCTGCCACCACCATGCTTCACTGTTGGGACTGTATTGGACAGGTGATGAGCAGTGCCTGGTTTTCTTCACACATACCGCTTAGAATTAAGGCCAAAAAGTTCTCATCAGACCAGAGAATCTTATTTCTCACTATCTTGGAGTCCTTCAGGTGTTTTTTCATGTGTCTTGCACTGAGGAGAGGCTTCCGTCGGGCCACTCTGCCATAGAGCCCCGACTGGTGGAGGGCTGCAGTGGTGGTTGACTTTCTACAACTTTCTCCCATCTCCCGCCTGCATCTCTGGCGCTCAGCCACAGTGATCTTTGGGTTCTTCTTTACCTCTCTCACCAAGGCTCTTGTCCCCTGATAGCTCAGTTTGGCCGGACGGCCAGCTCTAGGAAGGGTTCTGGTCGTCCCAAACGTCTTCCATTTAAGGAATGGAGGCCACTGTGCTCTTGGGAACCTTAAGTGCAGCAGAATTTTTTTTGTAACCTTGGCCAGATCTGTGCCTTGCCGCAATTCTGTCTCTGTGCTCTTCAGGCAGTTCCTTTGACCTCATGATTCTCATTTGCTCTGACATGCACTGTGAGCTGTAAGGTCTTATATAGACAGGTGTGTGGCTTTCCTAATCAAGTCCAATCAGTATAATCAAACACAGCTGGACTCAAATGAAGGTGTAGAACCATCTCAAGGATGATCAGAAGAAATGGACAGCACCTGAGTTAAATATATGAGTGTCACAGCAAAGGGTCTGAATACTTAGGACCATGTGATATTTCAGTTTTTCTTTTTTAATAAATCTGCAAAAATGTCAACAATTCTGTGTTTTTCTGTCAATATGGGGTGCTGTGTGTACATTAATGAGGAAAAAAAATTAACTTAAATGATTTTAGCAAATGGCTGCAATATAACAAAGAGTGAAAAATTTAAGGGGGTCTGAATACTTTCGGTACCCACTGTATATATCTTATAGGTACTATAAATGTTAAAAGTCTCTTTAGTGGGTTATAATTTGTCTTTTGACCAGCTAAAGCTAATTTTTTAAAGACCATTTCTCTGTAATCTGACAGAAATAACAGTGACCCATCAAAGAAGAAGCAGCACGTGTGTCACATGGAGGGCTGCGGGAAGGTTTACGGCAAAACGTCTCACCTGAGGGCTCACCTGCGCTGGCACACGGGAGAGAGGCCGTTCGTCTGCAACTGGATCTTCTGCGGGAAACGCTTCACCAGGAGCGACGAGCTTCAGCGGCATCGCAGGACGCATACAGGTGCGCAAACAATCACACAGGAGCACATAACAGGAGGAACAACATGCACAGGAGGAAGAAAATCAACATGAGTGTGTTTATATCCGATATGCGTTATTATAGCCGTTTATATCTGATTGACCAATCAAACGTCCTGTCAGCCCCAGAAATACAGCACAGACAAATATTGGTTAAAACAGTTCATTTTTAACAAGACATAACTATTGATTTAATTTATACTTCATGGCACCGAATGAAATATATATATTATTTAAATGCACTAATATATATAAAATTATATATATATATATATATATATATATAAAACAATTTTCAATTAATAAAAATCATTCTATATCAGTATATAATATTTATATATAAATATGCATGATTGAATGTTTTCGACTCGAGCACAAACATCGCTGATCATTTCTATAAACGACCCCTAAAAGCAAATTTAAAACAAAGCACGTCTTTATTATCCTCAAGACATTTATAGGTCATTTCAAGGCATATTTCATGCCATTATTTATTTCAAGGTGTATATAATATCATATTTGAGGTCATTTTTCACATTTTACATTTCACACCCCATAATTATTTATAATCATTATTATTAAATTATTGATTGCTACATTTCATTATGTTTTTGGTTATTTTGTGATATATATTGATTTATTTTATATCGTCGGCATCATTTTATTTCATTTCATTTTATTTATTAATTCATATCATTTTTCATGTTAATTAAATTAATTTCACTCTTATTTATTCATGCTAACATTTAAAAAAAAATTGCATTTATTTAATTTTTTATTTACTTTTATTTATTGCAATATTCTATAATGTATTTATTATTTCCATTTTATATATATATATATATTATAGAATATACATTTTTATAATGTATGAAATTATATATATATATATATATACACTTACAGAAATTTTTAAGTGCATTAAAATGGAAAACTTATTTTAAATTGTAATAATATTTCACAATTTTACTGTATTTTGGATCAAATAAATGCAGCCTTTGGGGGAAAAAAAACAAAAAAACATTACAAATGTCACTGATCCCAAACTTTTGAACGGTAGAGTGTGTGTGTGTATATATACATTTAATAATATACATTAACTTCTTTTTCAGATTTTATATGCAATCAGCCATGAATGTAGCCATTGTTGCTGAAATAGCGTTAAAACATAAATAAAATAAATATACAGTCAGCCATCTTGGATCATTTATTTCTCTGCACTAGTAGCAGTGCATTTGCAATAAGTGTGTTTTTTATATATATATACATTGGCTTATTTGCCATCTTTAAATTATAAATATCAGTATTATATCAGCAGTAGGCCACGCTGATCTTTAGATATCTGTTGTGAGAAAGCCACACCAGTCGACCACAGAACTAGTGTCTTTTCTTGCTCCGATCTGAATAAACGAATGATTTTCTCTGTCCCGATCAGGTGAGAAGAGGTTCGAGTGTCCGGAATGCTCCAAGAGGTTCATGCGGAGCGACCACCTGTCAAAGCACATCAAAACCCACCAGAACAAAAAAGGTGGGGCGGCACTTACCATCATCACCACAGATGAGATGGAGGAGGAGGTGGATGAGGTGCTGGGCTCGCCGAGGATCGTCACCGTGGCGACGCTCTCGCAGGATTCGAACCCGGCCACGCCCACCACTTCAAACAATTTAGAGGAGGAGTTCGAGTAGTTTTCCCTCCAAAAATGATCGGTTGAAAGCACCACAATATTGTTTGTCGGTTTGTTTATATGTTGATTTGTTTATGTTCTTCATTCTTTTTCTATCAACGATGGACAGCTGTTTGAGCGCACTCGGTTTTTTTCATATGGAAATGTAATACTATCAAATATTATGACAGAATAATCTAATGGAAATAGTATGAGTTGTTAAGAGACGCGTTGAACGATGGCGTTTGTTTTGTTACGAGTAGCACAAGAAGTACTGAAGTTCCCAGATGCTCCTGAAGGTGTCGCTATGCACAAAAATAATATGTATATCTGTTTCAAAGTGGTTTGTATGGAAACTTGTTTCCACCACAAGATAGAAAAAAAAAAAAGTAATTATGATTTTTTTTTTTTTGCTCACAATTCTGACTTCTTTCTCATAATTCTGAGTTTATATCTCATAATTCTGACTTTTTCTTTGAATTGAGTTTATATTTCACAATTTTGATTTTTCTCATAATTCTGAGTTTTCATTTCGGTATTCTGTTTTCTTTTTTCTTTTTTTTGTTGTTGTTGTTTTTTTGTGGTTAATTTCCACCATGAAATAAAAAAAAATTAAAAAAAAAAGGTAATTTTCGACTTTTTATCTCGCGGCTCAGACCTTTTTTTCACAATTTATATCTTTCAAATCTGGATTTCTTTTTTTTTTTTCACGCGTGCAAGAAAAAAAGTCAGAATTATGAGCTGAAATCTCAGAGTTGCGAGAACAATATTCTCGAATTGTGATAGAAACTCAGAATTGCAAATTATGAGATGCAAATGTAGAATTGCGAAAAGGTCTGAATTTTGATATAAACTTGACATTGTGAGGAAAAGTAGTCTGAATTGTTAGATAAAAAGCATAGACTGTATAAAAACAAAGTTGCAATTACCTTTTCTATTTATTTTTTACACTGTATTGGAAACAAGCTTCCGTAGGTTTCAAATGGAAAGTCGGGGATGAGAATCTCGGAGCTACACGCGACGGTCTGTGGGTTTCCGTACCATAGATATATATATATACATATCTATGATCTGGCTAGAAAGATGAGCACCTGACGAATCTTTAGTACACGATTAGAGTCGCAGCACAAGCTAGAAAGCGACGCCGTCTGTGATTGGAGCGCGTCGCGAAGCGTCAGCCAATCACGGCCTCGCGTTCAGAGCGCTTTAGAATTCAGGCATATATAATAATATAACTGATGATTCAGCAGTCAAACTTTTATGTAGGAGAAACGAGATTATAGAGACGGGCTATGTAAAGAAAAGCACATTTGATTTACAAATAATGCATTCCAGTTACGATTTCAAAACGTTGCCTGCATAACACTTGAAATTAAAGTGAGTAATTCTGTCTTAAATATTTCATGTCTAATTCTTTATTTCAGTCTGTGCTTTTATTTACAGCATGAGCTTAAGTAAAAAACAACACTTTACTAAAAGGTTCATTTTGTCAACATTAGTCACTTATACATTAGTTAACAATTACAAATACCTCTTAAAGGAGTAGTTCACCCAAAAATGCTGAGAATTTACTCACTCTCAGGCCATCCGAGATTAGGATGAATATGTTTCTTCAGCAGATCTGGAGAAATGTAGCATTGCATCACTTGCTCTGCAGTGAATGGGTGCCGTCAGAATGAGAGTCCAAACAGCTGATAAAAACATCACAATAATCCACACCACTCCAGTCCATCAGTTAACATCTGGAGAAGTGAATAGCTAAAGGTGTTTTTTATTTTTTTATGTTAAGGAAAAATTCCATTTGATCATTTTGCAAACAACATATTTTAATGTTCTCTGAATGTTCTGAAACAAGTAATAAGATTTTTTAAATGTTAGACGAATATCCAATTGAAACGTTTCAGTAAAGAAACGTTCCTTGAACGGTGTATAAGTAATAAATAAGTAAATCACATAAATATTTTTAGTTTGTATTTCACAATTTTGACTTTTTCTTTTAATTCTGAGTTTATCTCATAATTCTACCTTTTTCTTTGACTTGAGTTTATATTTCACAATTTAGATTTTTCTCATAATTCTGATTTTATATTTCGCAATTTTGACTTTTTCTTTGAATTCTCAGTTTATATCTCATAATTCTGACTTTTTCTTTGAATTCTGAGTTTATATCTTGCAATAATTTTTTCTTTGAATTTAGTTTATATTTCACAATTCAGATTTTTCTTTGAATTCTCAGTTTATTTATCACAATTCTACATTTTTCTTTGAATTCTGAATTTATATTTCATAATTCTGTATTTTTTCTCATAATTACAAGTTTACATTTCGGTATTCTGTTTTCTTTTTTTGGTTCGTTTCCGCCATGAAATTAAAAAATTTTAAAAAAAGGTAATTTTCGACTTTTATCGAACGGTATTTGAACGGTATATAAGTAATAAATAAGTAAATCACATAAATAATAAATGTTTTAGTGCTAACAGTCAACTTTGAATAATAATAATAATGCATTTTATCTAATGGCACCTTTCTAAACACCCAAGGTCACCTTACAGCAAGCAGAATGGTAAAAAAAAAAAAAAAGAGTAACAATAGACAAACAGATCAACAAAGTTCAACAGCACAACTGCATACATACAGTCGAGGTCAAAAGATTACATACAGCTTGCAGAATCTGCAAAATGTGAGGGATCATATAAAATGCAAGTCATTTTTTATTTCGTACTGACCTGAATAAGAAATTTCACATAAAAGTAATTTACATGTAGTCCACAAAAGAAAAATATAGTTGAATTTATAAAAAAAAGACTTGTTTGTCTTCTAGGAAACATGCAAGCATCTTCTGTAGCTTCTGAAAGTACTAAATGAAAATATATATATATATTTGTGACCCTGGACCACAAAACCAGTCATAAGAGTCAATTTTTTAAAACAGATATTTATAAATCATCTGAAATCTGAAAAAACACGTTTTCCATTGATGTGTGGTTTGTTAGGATCGGACAATATTTGGTCGAGATGCAACTATTTGAAAATCTGGAATCTGAGGGTGCAAAAAAATTGAAATATTGAGAAAATCATCTTTAAAGTTGTCCAAATTAAGTCCTTAGCAATTAATATTACTAATCAAAAATGAAGTTTTGATATATTTACGGTAGGAAATGTACAAAATATCTTCATGGAACATGATCTTTATTTAATATCCTAATGATTTTTGGCATAAAAGAAAAATGGATAATTTTGACCCATACAATGTATTGTTGGCTATTGCTACAAATATCCCCCAGCGACTTAACACTGCTTTTGTGCTGCAGGGACACATTTAGGCAAAATAAGAAATATTTACACATCTTCATTCTTTTCAAAATTGTATGTGAACTTTTGAATGGGGTCCTTTTATTTGACACAATAAACAGTACAACAGTGTATACTAGACACAACTTTTATTTTCTCTTGTGGACTATATGTAAATGTCTTTTATGTGAAATTTGACACAATAAACAGTACAACAGTGTATACTAGACACAACTTTTATTTTCTCTTGTGGACTATATGTAAATGTCTTTTATGTGAAATATCGTGTTCAGGTCAGTACGAAATAAAAAAATGACATGCATTTTGTATGATCCCTCTTATTTTGGTAAAATAACGTTTTGCAGATTCTGCAAGCTGTCCTCAACTGTACATCATAAATACATTAGCGGCTTAAGAGCAAGTCATAGAAGAGCCTTGTTAAAGAGATTTAAAAGAATGCAGACTGTCACTGTTGCATATATTGGGATGGAGGGAGTTCCCTAGACGAGGAGCCGCAAAACTAAAAGTTCCTGCTCCCATGGGGTTTGAGCGTATATGCAGCGACACGAGAGATCGAGAGTGAAGATCTGAGAGTGTGTGAAGGAGTATAGATGTGGAGTAGGTTGTGAAAGTTCTGAAGTGACTTAAATGTGAGAAGCAAAATTGTAAAATCGATGCGATACTTCACTGGGAGCCAGTGTAGACGTTGGAGAAATGGGCTGAATAGATGAAGTCCTAGAAAGAACAGGAGGGTGATACTTTGGATTGGAAATTTGAACAAACCCCTAATACAAAGTAGTATATTTTTGTTGAGTGTTGAGTTGGTGATGGAGGGCAGGAGTGAGGGATGACAGTGTGGAGGTGGAGATGGTTCAGGTGGGTGGCTCTCTTTTGTTCTATTCTCCGTTTGATTGACAGCTCTGTACCTGCAGTGCGCCACCAAAGGGAAGCTTTATCCACTTTAACAGCTGCTGTGTGTGTGTGCGTGTGTGTGTGCGTGTGTGCGTGTGTGTGTGTGTGTGTGCGTGCGTGTGTGCGTGCGTGTGTGTGTGTGTGTGTGCGTGCGTGTGTGCGTGCGTGTGTGTGTGTGGGTGTGTGCCTCACACTCACTCCATCTGCATGCAGACAGTATAGCACCTGTCTCGTTTGACACATCTCAACAGTTTGGTGTTCATATTTAATACTGTAGGATAAACATAATGAGATTCATAGATTCTGTACCTGGTTCTATCTATCTATCATATATCTATCTATCCATCCATCTATCATATATCTATCCATCTATCTATCTATCTATCTATC